TGGTGGCATCATGGCGATCTAAAGTGTACCTTACAATGCTTGGACATCTCAAGTCCTTGGCTATGTGGCGGTAACTCCAGCCAGCATCAACAAGGGCCTTGATTCGAGCCTGTTGCTCACTCATTAGCTCCTTCTTCACCTTAGCCCGACTTCTTCTAGAGCCTTTGACCAATTGGTGGTGTGGCCTCAGAGACCCTCAGAAAATCCTGATGTTACCAATCACTTAATGAGCAGTACACATGAAATAAAATTTCTCCAAACACGTTTCTTGTTATTTTAGGTAGTTATTATCACGCTAACGTATGTTCAAGTGTCCATTTCCCCCGATAAGTTGGTTTTAATTCTTTATTTGATTCTATAAACACAGTCTGACCATACTTTTATTTTGGTACTTCCGGTGACCGGCAGTGTGAATTTGCATATTAGCTAAATATTTAGTTTCACCCAGAACATTTAAATTTAACATTTAACATTTAGATTTATATTTAGCATTTAGATTTAACATTTATATTTATATTTAATATTTAGATTTAACATTTATATTTATATTTATATTTAGCATTTAGATTTAACATTTAGATTTAGATTTAGATTTAGAGTTAGCATTTAGATTTAGATTTAGATTTAATATTTAGATTTAACATTTAACATTTAGGTGCCACATTTAATATTTAGATTTAACTATTTAATATATTTCTAAGTTAACAAATATTGCTGTAAATGTGGTAAAAGGTGACGTTAAAAAATTCACAACACTTTTTTAAACATTGTTTGAAGCTAAATGTGGCAAAATGTTGATGTTATTTTCAGCGTGAGCCACTTTACAAACGGCACCCCATACTTGTACATTCAAAAGAACCACACAGCTTTGCCCTACAACTCTTACATCACCGTCGATTTAACCACGATCACACCTGATAATGATTACACAGGTAATATGGCTTCCTCTGTGAAGGAACATGATTGTGTGACACTGACAGTGAAATAGGCCTCGCTTGTTTTTTGTAAGGAAAATGACCTATCCTATGGTTTATAGAGCATAATGATGACTTTGTAGACATTTCAGTCGTTTTATGGGGTTTTTTAATGGTCAACAAAACAACTGAAACCTCTTAAATATGCCAAGTGTGCTAATAATTTTGGCCACCACTGTACATGTAGGCTTCCTAACCTTAACACTTCTAGCTAATGTTACCTTTGCCAACAACAAACCGAGTTAGAAACTGTCAATGACGACACATAACTTACCATAAGCCAACTAACTATTATAAAATATAATAAAAAATATAATATAATTCGACAACAAGAGTTGTATGTCACTAAAACATGAAAACGATTTCTTCTTACCGTCAACAGCGCCACCAAAATCCCGCTTGTGGACAGAAATATATCGCAGCCGCGGCGACAAGAACTACAATGTTAAAAAGCTTACGTCACTTCCTTTTCTTCACAGGAGTTTCCGTAGTGTAGTGGTTATCACGTTCGCCTCACACGCGAAAGGTCCCCGGTTCGAAACCGGGCGGAAACATTATTTTCTAAATTTTTTCACATACATATATCCTGTGATAACATGTTTATTAGTGTTGTGACATGAAGCAGTGACGTCTGTATTACTGTGCTGCACTGCATTCTTCTAACTGTGCTTTTGTGGGCACAGGAATATCACTGTGTTGATTTAAAACATCCTTGCCACAAACGTGCCACTAAATAAACATGTCAAACATTGATCATTTAAAAACATTTCGAATTAATTTATCTAAAAATATAGATTAGACATCTGATATTGATATCTAGCGCCGTGTACATATGTAGACTACACACACACACAGCCCAGAATTCACAGCTTTGTTTCCACCGGGATATTTTGGATGGAGGATCTCTCTGATTAATGACCTGTCTTGTAGCAGATGTTTAATTAGCGTCGGAAGGTCCTTACCTGATGTTTTCCTGTCAGAAACATATGGCACCGCACAAAAAAAGGCTTGTGTCATACTCGTTTCCTCATGTGAACACGGTTGCCAGACTTTATTATAACATTGTCAGCATGTTTAGAGCGGGAGAATGATCCCAACAGGAAGCACCACATATATCCTATTTCAGAGGCAATCAGAAAATGTGCTGCTCATTTTTTATATATTCTACTGGCTTTAAAGAAGACACAAACATACATTATTAATCTCTCAGTATTCTATTAATGTCAGCATACAAGTGTTTAGACAAAACAATTTGAATCAGCTCAGAAACTGCACAGACCGATATTTTGGTCTTGACCAAAATCACAATGGTGGGCCGACCTACCGACCAACATTGCCATCTCTCAGCCCACTTGCCAGGGCAAAAAAAAAAAGATTATGTCCCAGCAGTTGTGTCAACAGTAGACACAGCAGTCTGTAGTTATAGTGGAGACAAAGACATTTAACATCAGTAGCACCTGTAGTAGTAGTCGTGGTACTTTATTTCAGTTTCCTGCAAGAACCTAAATTCTGTTAAGAGGCTTTTCCAAGGAAAAATGCTGAGAGAAACACTTTTTCCTGGCATTTCAAATCCCAAACTGTAAATTAGCAATGATTAGCCTGCCATTTGTAAGAGAGCCGCCAGCAGCCTGGTGCTAACATGTCATTTTCATGGGCAGAGGCTTTATGTGGGCAGAACCATTAAAGCGTGGCATTAGAGTGTCCTGAGGGATCAGCTTTGCTCCACTCATTTCTCATTCACATGAGAGCTGAGGGCAGGCGACACAGACACTGGTTGGTTCGCTACGTCTAATGTGTTCCACTCTCAGCTGCCTGGCATGGAGGCACTTACTCGGGCTTCACTGACAAATTACACAGGAGCATGTCGCCCCCCGCCATCTACCTAAAGTCACGGCTGCACACCTTGAATTTTGTGCTGATCCAAATTATCTGCTTGAATTAACCCAAAACACTGAGCATAATTAGTTCAGACAGGACATGATGTCAAGTCCAATCAACTGATGGAGCAGCTGATTGATGAAGGGAGTCAGCTGATAGATCACATGACTCCTTTCCATGCAACCAATTGGTGAATCTCATTCAGGGCGCCCTATTTAAACTGCTCTGGCCTGCCTACTGTTGCTGCTTCCTCTGCAAGCTGCTTTGCAACCCGCCTCCACCCCAGCTCCGCCTTTTTAAATTCTGTGTCTGACTTATCAATGTCATTTCTGTTTGTCATTGATGCTGCTCTGTTCTGTTCCCGGGAGGTCTTTGCTGCTGCTCTCCCTGCCTTAGGCTTTCCATGTAGGCGTATGGAAGGGCAGGGAGGTTTGCTCTCTCTGCCTCAGACTTTCCACCACTACCTCACCTCACAGTGTCACGTTGTTCATGTGTTCCTGTTTACCAGCATAGAATTGACAACACTGTTTCTTCTTGTACTTCATAGCATCTGGAAAATCAATACGAAAATATATTCTGGAATGTGATGCAACTCAATTGCATCAAAAGTACTTGGGTAGTGTTTTGGGTTAACAAAGTACATAACATGACCTAAGTATGCCACGTGGGTCGTGCTGGTATGTCACGTACCTGTATAAGGTACGTAACGCTATATTATAAAAATGTTGATTTTTGCTTTTACGTAAATCAGCTAGCATTACCTTTAAACAACTTTTGGTTTCATACGTGGCACAAACAGCAGTCTCCTGGGGTGAAAGTCTTGCCCAACCTATGCAGAGTTTGTTGCGCTTTATACTGCGTCCCTTGCGCTTTCGCCTGTCAAATGTTGCTGCAGATGGGCTTACATTGGCGGCAGTTGAAACCCTGATGCATCTCATAAAGATGCCAAAGGATGCCTTCAATGTCGGAGTCACATGCCAACACTTTGTTGTGGAAATGTCACTGTGTTCCCAGACCTCAGCTTCTGTGAGTGCAATGTAAAGCCCCATTTCACCAAACACTTTCAGTATGGTACCTCTGGGACCAACAGTAACCCTTCAGACATGGTACCTAGACCCTAGTGCTGCAAACAGTACCCTTAAATGTGGGCGGGGTTGTTGTCACTCACTGCTCGGTCCAGCACTCGCTGTATTTCCTCATCAGCGGTGACACAGATGGAAGTCTGTACCTGGTTTATCATCCACAGAACGAGGCTGCACACCGACATTTTCAAAAGAGAACAGGCTGCAGTGAGAGTCTCTCTGCATGGGATATTTAAAAATAGCAGCTTTGTGCATTTAGTCCTTCTCAGGCAAGCTCAGGGGTTTAGTGTTCTTGGAGCCCACAGGAGCGACGCTTTTTTTTCTCCGAGTGAGGATTAGAATATATGCAGTTCACATAACCTGGCTGAAATTAATATATATAAATGCCTAAAGATCCACTCATTACTAAAAGTGTATGTCATATAAAAACTAAAGGGATGGGTTCCATTGGTACCATCCACAACTTTTCACAGTGGAAACAGGAAAACAGTGTACCAACCTGAACTGAATCGTACTGCTCGGTGGAAACGGGGCTTTAGTTGTAGCAACTACACTGTGTTCCCAGACCTCAGCTTCTGTGAGAGCAACATTAGAGAACTTAAAAGCAATGATTGCTAAAACTATAAAACAAGACCCAAGTTGTAATACAGCAGAATTATCCTTTAAAGTAGAGTTTGATTTACTCTGCTGCTGAATTCTTCTGCCTTGTACAAATGACTGTTCAATAACGTACTTGAGAGTCTGTGTCACTTTTTAAATCCTGAATGGTTTTTAATTGCACCATGTGGACTGAAATGTGACAATGTGACAAAGGAGCTGTGATTCAGAACCTCAGCACACCAATCATTTAGACCAGCTGGAGTAGCTTTCAGCAGCTTCTACTTCTGCCTCATCTTTTGTATTCTGCACACACTAATTATTTTGCCATTTACAAACAAATGCCACTTCGAAACTAGACTCTGTCTGTCATTGACTGGAATACCACATTCCTGCAACCGTGCAGACTTCTTTGATCGCTTCTAACTCATTCTTGGATGTTCATTTTCTTGGGCGGTGACAACACTGATTCACCAACAGTAAACACAAGTTTTAATTTGTCTCCAAAGAAATACAGGAAAGAACAGCCTTTGATCATAAGAAAATAAGAAAAGGACCCTACAGAGCAGAGTTACTGTACATAGACGCACTTTCTTCATATCGCAAACAGACACCAAACAGAGCCGTTATCAGGAAATGATCTGTCCATCATTGTGTTCTTGTAGCTTCAACATATCAGTGACATTATTAACCTGTACAAAAAAATGTTAGTGATTAAAAACAGTAAGGATCGAACGAACATTTAGAGAAAATCTCATCAGAAAAACAGGAAGGTGGATGAACATAAAGGGATTGTCTTTAACAGTGGGATGTCTGGTCATGCTCAGGGCATCTACCAGGGAAACAAAGCCACGTTCACATCAGCCACTTGTCCTTCTCCTTGTTAAAGTTCTCAGCCCACTGGCGTGTAAGCTCCAAGTAGTGCTCTGGCTTGTTGGGTTGGTAGTCAAGGTACAAACGGGTCACTGTTTTCTTAGGTACAGCCCTCTCTATCTGCGTGCCTTCATGCCATTGGTTAAAAGAAGTAATGGTGACGATTTCTGGTCTGACAGACAAAGCCGCCTGCAAAGATGTGTCGTAGTAACGTCCGTTAACCCTGTTCCTGGTGTTATGGTTGTTCCATGGCCGCACAGCTGTGTCCACATACCCCGGCCCAACACTGGGAATAAACAGCAGGTTGCTTGCATCACAGAAGGCCTTGATGGCTTTCCAGTTCTGGTGGGAGGAGCCAAAGGAGAAGCCGTTGGAGGCAAAGTAGGTGTATATGCCATCAAAGCCGCTAGCTAGGATGTCATGTTTGTGGCGCTCTTCCACAATGAGGGCGACGAAGACGCCGTCGTAAGGCGTGCCTCTGATGCTGTGGGAACCTTTAGTTGTCAGAAGCTCCGCCCAGGACTCTGGTGGTATCAGGTAGGAGTCATAGACATAAAACAGAGGCAGGACTTGCCCTGTGCTGGACCTGAATCTGTAGAAGGCGCCATGCTTTCCATACCTGAGAGAAACAAGAGATCAAGTTGTGACAACATGCATGGAAAAGCATTTTTACTAAGCATATCTACTATGTATAGGTAGAGTTTTTGTGATTACAATGGTTGCAGTGTGCATCACTGTCCACATTTTGGTAAACACCACTGGGGGGAAATGTTCAAATTCTGTACATAGTGGCTTCAGTTTGCCTCTGTTCACTGTTTCACCACCACTAGGGGGGCCAGAGTCAGAAAGTTAGACATGTTCAAATCCCACACACAAGGGCTTTAATGCTACTTGGGGAGAGAACTACAAGTAAGTTAGTAGTCAGGAAACTTAAGATTTTCTTCCTTCATAGTATATGAGCTGACTTGTCATCTGAAGGTGAAGGGGATGGTGGGTGGCATGTCACCAAGGCGAGATACCTGCCAAGCTGCAGACTGGTTCAAGACCAACAAACAACTAAACCAGTTGTTCTTTAGCAAGCTATCGCTGCATTGCTAGCACCTTTTCAGCCAACAAATGTGAGTGTTTTTTAGCAACCTGTTGCTGTGTGTACAATGGGGATAGTGCCCCAAATTGCAGTTTACAGAGGCGGTGGATAAACAGGAAACAGCTGATAGCAGGAATTAGTGAGCAGCTAGTAGCAAGAGGGAAACACAAACCTGACAGACACTGTAAAGATGAGCAACTGGGGAGACAAGGAATTGCGCGCCCTCCTTGCCCTCGCAAGCGAAGAGGCCATTAACCGTCAGATGACGGGAACGGTGAAGGACGGGCTGACTTAAGAGAGAATCGCCGAAGGACTGACCAGCCGCGGCTTCCCTCCCACGTCACTGTTTACGTCACACTCTGAGCTACACGTTTTGTTACTTGCTCACGCCCCCCATTGCCCCGAAAAAGGCGCATTCGGTATAAACAAAAGTAGGTAGGCGGCATTTTGCTGCACTCCCTAAGTTTGTTTTTATACTGCCAATGCTGAAAAAAGACTGATTGGGCTTTCCTGCAAATTTGCACAATTCCTATCTAAAAAGGGCTAGTGTATCCAGTGGGGATTGTGGCACTAACACAGCATCATCCGTAGACACAGAGCAACATAAGCATGCATTTGAAGTTGTGTTTCTGGTGACGTGACAAACGGTTTCTCTCTCTTTAGGGCTTTGGTTTGGTTTTGTAACTACTGCTACTGTAGCTCACCTAGCACCACTGAGCTAACTAAGGCTACAGCTCAGCCGAGAGGGACATCATTACTTTTTTGTGCGTAGTGATATGGTTTGCAGGTGTAGTTTGGTAGAAAGAAACCTACATGGAACAGCTCACAACAAGGTCTGTGGATTATCTTGAGTAACCAGGTCATGATTTCTGGATAGAGACTTTGCTGTTGAGTTTTTCAAATGTATTTTTTGGCGCTTCGAGCACCACAAGCTGAGTGCCATCTAGTTCCATTATATTGGAGAGAAGACAGACATCTCTACAGCTGATTTCTCCAACACTCTGCAACTAACACCAAAACTATCTGGATTGATTTTTGATTTTGGGGTGAACTACCCCTTTAAGCTAATGAGCTACATGTGAAAGGCTAGACATAAAGTCAAACTGTCATGTGCCTCAGTGTGACCCAGAGTCAGTGGGTTAGCCAGGCTAAAGGCCAAGACAACTGATCCTGTTAGCAGTGGTTTTGTTTCATTGCAAATACACCTCATGTTTCAAATGTAATGATGCTACATGTAGTGCCTTTAATACAGCTTAGATTTCACAGGTTGTGTCAGACATTCAGAAAATATTTATGCATCTCTTTTTCTGTCTTTCCATTTTTGTTTCATTTTATACAGATGGTCGGCTCAGTGGGTTTCTGAAAATGTTGGCAGCAACAAAAAGTCCAGAAATCGGATTTGACTCGAGACTCTCGAGGCTGAGCTTTGATTTTACTCCAGTCTGGTATCATTATAAACACGGCATCGCTGAGACGCCTTATTCTTGCTCCTCACCACAGTGTGAGATCATGAGCTTCTTCTTTTATTAGACTGCTATTGAATATTGTATTAGACGAAACACTATCTGATTAGCCTCACAGCCTCTCCCCACGTCTCTCTATTAAAGCGAGCATATTTTACACGTTGCTTCATTTATGGGAAAAGCTGAATATCATGAAATGTTATGAGACAGACAAAGAGTCAGGTTGTCTCTGGCACACATTCAGACTGGTCAAAGTCAGAGGAAAATCTACCTGCCGATCTGCTGCAGCAAGATCACAGGGGAGACATCTATATTTAACAACCTGTTCCTCATCGTCTCTTATCAGGCTTCAGATACGAAAAGCAGAGCTCCACCCTTTGGAAGGGAAACAAATCTCGCACAGAAATAAAAACAACTCACTTGTCAATGATGTATTTGATGTTGTCATGCATGCTCTGGTCCGTCCGTCCCTTGTATGGCTGTATGTGAAAGGCCACCTGTGTAAAACACATTTGAACACAGACGTTAAAAAAAACATCATCAAAACATAATTACACAAAACCCTGAAAAATAAGGGGTTATGCAGTGAATTTCAAACTGTGCATCCTGCGGTTCATTATTCCAGCCTATTATCCGTTTTGATGGAAAAACAACGTTTAATTGGTCTGACCTCGCTTACTTTCGGCTATGCTGCCTGTGAATCACAGCCGTGATTGACATGTCACTCTGTGCCGACTCTGGAGTGTTTTAATGAGGAGCTGCTCTAATTAAAGTCGGGCTGGGTACCGTTTAAGAAATTATGATACCAGTACCAGTACCAATACCCTTAAAGTGATACTGGTTCCAATTGACAAGCTGTTGGAATAACCATGGAGCCCACACTGTAACTAACTGCACATATTATCATATTTTTGGAAAAATGAACATTCACGAATGAGCCAAGTCTTTGAACTGGCTCTTTGAAGTGAACAAGTGAGTGGCTGCACTGTCTTTCTCCCTCACTAGTCTCTCTCAACTTGTTCCAGATCAAATAATCTGAAATTAATGGATACAGAGTAAATTAAAGCAAAAAACAAAGAAATCAGGAACTGGCTCGTTCGCTATGAAGAGCCGGTTCACTCGTTCACTTCAAAGAGCCGGTTCAAAGACTCGGCTTGTTCGCGAATGTCACATCACTAATTACAAAGCAAAAGCAGCATGTGTATACATTCAGTAGGCTATGTCTTCAGTAGCTAGCTAGCTAACCCTACACTTTACAGGGTTTGATTTTGGTTTTGGAACAGGGAAGAAACGTATATCTTTTTCCAACCTCTCCAGGTAACGAGTATCATTAATACACAACGTGTCCCAGGCACAACATTTAGCTCCAAATCCACAAAAACAGCCTGAAAATGAAGGAAATCTGAAACAACTGCATTAGAGTCAATGGAGCACAGCTGTGTTGTTGTCGGACCCTGGTCTGAGCAGGCCTGATGCAACGTTATGATTGGCCAGTCTGTGGCCAGGACTTAGTGAAGGGTCAATTCAGTACTTCATTCAGTGATTTTTTTCCTACTTCATTCGATACCCATCATAATTTCAATGACCAGTTATGTTTAAAATCACCAGGCCAATCACAGTACATTATCACTTAGAGATGAACGTATGCTGCCACTGTTAGCTGGCTAACGTTGCCTGGCATGTGGTGACACTAAATAGATCTGTTTTTGAAACAAAAGAGTCATGTGGGAGACAATCCGGTGCCAGTAAAAGCTCCAAAGTGTGTGGTGAAGAAGTGTGACCCTGAATACATTACATTTGAATTCATAAAGCAGGCAGTGATGCTGAGCCAAGAGCACAGTGTGTTGAATGTGGTGAAATCCTGTCAAATGAGGCGCTAAAACCATCGAAGCTCCAGAGACACTTAAACACAAAGCAGCCAGGACGTGTTCAGAGGCCAAAATAATATTTCCTAAGGAACAGGGACAGACTTAAGTCATCACATTCACAGCTGACAGTGACATAACACACCCTTAGAGTCCTCTTCATTTGTTCTCCTTTTTGTAATCATGTTATGTTTTTTAATCATTTATTTGGGATGTCTTTTGGCCTCAGAGCAAGTTAACTTCTGAGGATCAAATCTGTCAAGAGCCTGCCAACTGACCTATCAGATCACTGGAATCATTCATGCTGTAGTACTGACTTTATAATAAAGTGACCAGTAATAAAGACCATCCAACCATCAACCGCTTATCCGGCAGGCTGAGCAAAGTATTCCAGACGTCCCTCTCCCCAGCAACGCTTTCCAGCTCCTCCTGGTGGACCCTGAGGTGTTTCCAGGCCAGATGAGATATATAATCCCTCCAGCATGTTCTGGGTCTGCCCCAGGGCCTCCTACCAGTGGGACGTGCCCAGAACACCTCTAACTGGAGGCGCCAAGGAAGATCCTGATCAGATGCCCGAACCACCTCAACTGACCCCTTTCGACATGAAGGAGCAGTGGCTCTACTCCGAGCACCCTCCGGATGTCCGATCTCCTTAACCTAACACTGAGGCTGAGCCCAACCACCCCACAGAGGAAACTCAATTTCATTCTTTCAGTCATTACCCAGAGCTCATGACCATAGGTGAGGGTTGGGACGTAGATGGACAGTAAATCGAAAGCTTTGCCCTCTGGCTCAGCTCTCTCTTCATCATGATGGTCCGGCATCACTGCACCAAACTGCAGATTCCCAGCAACACTTTCCAGCTCCTCCTGGGGGACCCTGAGGTGTTCCCAGGCCAGATGAGATACGTAATCCCTCCAGTGTGTTCTGGGTCTGCCCCAGGGCCTCCTACCAGTGGGAGTGCCTGGAACACCTCTAACTGGAGGAGCCCAGGAGACATTCTGATCAGATGCTCGAACCACCTCAACTGACTCCTTTCGACACAAAGGAGCAGCAACTCTACTCCGAGCTCCCTCAGGATGTCCGATCTCCTTAACCTAACACTGAGGCTGAGCCCAACCACCCCACGGAGGAAACTCATTTTCATTCTTTCAGTCATTACCCAGAGCTCATGACCATAGGTGAGGGTTGGGACGTAGATGGACAGTAAATCGAAAGCTTTGCCCTCTGGCTCAGCTCTCTCTTCATCATGATGGTCCGGCATCACTGCACCAAACTGCAGATTCCCAGCAACACTTTCCAGCTCCTCCAGCTCCAGCTCCACCTCCTCCGCCTGAGGTGTTCCCAGGCCAGATGAGATACGTAATCCCTCCAGTGTGTTCTGGGTCTGCCCCAGGGCCTCCCACCTCCAGTGGGAGAGCCTGGAACACCTCTAACTGGAGGAGCCCAGGAGACATTCTGATCAGATGCTCGAACCACCTCAACTGACTCCTTTCAACACAAAGGAGCAGCGGCTCTACTCCGAGCTCCTCCCCCTATCTCTAAGGCTGAGCCCAAACACCCTATGGAGGAAACTAATTTTGGCCACTTGTATCCACAATCTCATTCTTTCGGTCACTACCCAGATCTCATGACCATAGGTGAGGGTTGGGACGTATGGACCAGTAAATTGAAATCTTCCCCTTCTGGCTCAGCTTGGTCCAGGATCACTGCAGACGCTGCACCAAACTGCCGATCCATCTCACGCGCCATTCTACCCTCACTCGTGATACTTGAACTTCCTCGCCTTGGGGCAGTACCTCACTCCCAACCATTTTTCAAGCTGTTCCAGGTTTTCCATGGGTCCACTTTGGTTGATTGCTTGACACGGTAAATACACAACGATTACAGCAGCGTTTTCACAGAGCAAAGATTCCTTCATTCCTGATTCTGCAGCTCAGAATAACAACTTTATGATGACAACAGGAAATAAGAGCTTAAACCGTCTGTTGTCTTTTATTGGAAACATGATCAATACGCTATGGATAACCCTCCACATGATGTCATATACATTTCACCTTGTTCGATATCACTGTTCCCTACCCACTAAAGGCTAACAATTCATGTTACTATAAGAGGTTTGCACAGTGGATGCTACAGTATGTGACCTCATCATTTAAGGTACAAAGTGCTGAGTGAAGGTCATGTCACCATCAAGTCAAGTCTCAACTGAAACAGACACAGAATGAGAGAAGTTTTTACATTCCATGTGCTGTCTTGTAACAGGGTGTCACTGAGTATAAAAAAGTACGAGAGCACATTTAAAAGCAGTGTGCTGGTGCTTTTGTGCTGATAATTGTTGGCCAGCACCTACAAAGAAGTTATGTATGTGTGTGTGTGCCTCTTGATGATTGACAGAGGAAATGTCTGAAAAGCTTTAATAGACTCTCTGCGGTGACTTCTATTCTATTTATGTACAGAGGGTACCTGCAGTGAAAAAAGAAAACCTCTCTATGCTTTTATGAAACATTTTTCTTGCTGCTCAGTGGTGTGTGAGCACTGCAGGACTGACTCATTTGACCTTTTATTGGGAACTGTTCCTCTTTAGATGAGTATTACTGACATTAGACCTCTGACATTAGACCTCTGACATTAGACCTCAGGGCTGAAACACAGCCTTAATGGCTGTGTTTCAGCCCTGAGGTCTAATGTCAGCATGACGGTAAACACTGAAAACACTGCAGAGCTCATTAAACATTTCTCTACAGCACAACTCGTGGTCAAAAACGCTGAACCCAGTTGGCAGAAGAGAATGTTGGCATTGTATAATCCTACAAACCATGGATACGTTGCAGTTGTATGTTTTATACGGGTCATATCAACATTTCTAAAGTGACAAAGAACATGGTGGAGGGGACAGTAGATGGTCTGACACCAAGGTGAGATGTCTGACAAGCTGCAGACCACTGTTCCAGACCAACAAATGACAAAACCGGTTGTGTTTTAGAGAGTCATTGCTGTGGGGTTTCCAGCGGGGATAGCAGCTTTTTAGCCAAATGTGGTTCACAGGATAGTGCCACAAAAAGCAGTTGTTTTTTCCTAAGGCATCACTGTGTTTCCAGCCAAATGTGGGTGTTTTTTAGGGGCCCGTCACTGTGTTTCCACCTGGGATAGTGAGACAAAAAGCGGTTGTTTTATACCAAGAAATTGCTGTGTTTCCTGTCAGGAGAGTGTTGTTTTATTTCAAGACATTGCTGCTTTTCCTGCCAGGACAGTAGCAAAACAAGCGGTTGTCTTTTACAGAGACATCACTGTGTTTCCAGCAGCTTTTAAGTCAAAACATGGGTGTTTTTTAGTGGCCCATCACTATTTTTCAACTAGGGACAGTGCCACAAAAAGCACTTGTTTTATACCCAGAGATCTCTGCATTTTCTGTGAGGATAGTGCCACCAAAAGTGGTTGTTTTTTTACTATGTTTCAAGCCGGGATAGTGCTACAAAAAACAGTTGCTTTCTACCAAGACATTGCTGCATTTCCTTCTAGAATGGAAACACAAAAAGTGGTTATTTTTTACTGAGACATTGCTGTATTTCCAGCAACTTCTTAGCCACATGTAGATGTTTTTTAGCGATCCCTCACTGTGTTTCCAGCCA